CCTGACTAGCCCAACCAGTTAAGTCCAGAACACCAATCTCAGCCTCTGCGACATGAATCATTTATTTCAAAAATACTGGGTTTATATAACAATCAAACAGACCACATCGCACCATAAAATAAGAAACCACATCTATACAAGATTTAGCCTGTAGATGATCAACGTAGATGATCTATGTCGAAATGATTGGAGGCCTACTCGAGTTAGACGTGAATGATGTGACAAGCTAGCTAATGTCGAAGTCACACCTCATGGTCAGCACCTTACGTGGACTACCCCATTGACGTATCAAGGTACCATAGATACTTTGAAGACCGTACAACACAGAGGACGTTATTACAGAAATATATTAATTAAAGTAGATACAATCGAAAGTAAGACCACTGCCGCATGGGCCAGTCCATGGTTGGTTGTACTTGACCTTGGCAGGGAGCGATGATCTGTTCGGCATTCAGTGATCCAACTGCCGGATTATTTGGCTAGGTCTCAGCGACATTTCACTGGCCCTACAAGTCAAATGTGTCTGTGAATAATGGAGATAGTAATTGATAGACAGGGCATAACTCGAGAATGGTAAGTCGTATAATAACAGTTTACAGGTCAAAATAAAGCTTATGATAGGTTTAGCTACTTAATAATTATACAATAAAAATATATATACCATATTGGTCCATAAATAGACCCCAAAAGTTACCATACATTATTCTCATCGGGATATAATGAAAACTCCATCAAGATAAATGCTGTATCAGTTGTAACTTGAATTGCCTAATATAGAGGTTTTGTCAAGAAGATGTAGCGGTCTGAAAAAGCATACATTTATTGAATTAACATAAAACTCTGAATACCTCATTTTAAGTTCTTCAGGTAAACAATGATCAAGGTCAAGTATTTATGGTTGAATTTTGGTTTAATATTGTTACGTCCTTGATCTGTCTATTTATTTTTGTGCAGAGGATAACTTGTCTAACCTAGATTAAGAACTTGAGGCTTATGTGCATGAGTTCGAAATGAGATCAATTTCTTGGGATACAGAGACGAAAACTATTCTATCACCTTATTGGTTGACAAGCACGCGAGTGAGAGAAGAGAGGTCAACTGAAATACTACACCATTTATTCCCAATTTCGAACCGCTCCCCGATTCAGAATAGTGTAAAAAGATACATGAATAAATAGATGAATAACCAGACCACAACATTCAAGCAATTAGGAAAATACAATTATGTCCAAAGCTGTGAATTAGAATAGAAAATAGAGTACAAAATATTACGTTTAAATTACAATAGCTTTGGAACAGAAAATGTTATGGCAGTGAATCATACATCAGACGAAAGCTTATGATCTGTAGAATAGACGAGGGAGAAAAATAAATAACACTGTATTACAAGTTTTGAATTAGATGAAATAACGTCCCCCAAAATTAGCTTCCGTAGTTTGTCACTGTTTCTTGTTTTCTCTGTTCACATCAAATATCTATCACAGTTTAAATATAATTCGTTCTTTTTTTGTTATTTACAGCATATAAAAATTTACATGTATTAAAGAAAAAATTAGGCTGACCAACAGGTTTACAGATTAGTAACTCATTGAAATATATTGCTACTATTTAATGATTCTTAAGTTAAATTTCATTTCACTTTGTCATCGGTTAAGGTTAACAAAGTTAATATTTACTTACAATCTATCAGTTTAAATTTGTATCGTAATTCACTTACTAATTTCTAGATTACTTAAAATAACTACTTATATATGATACATTAAGATAGATAGGTCTTTATTCGCTTATATAAATTACACAATAAGTGTGGTATGAGCTTTTATTAAATGTGTAGGAGGTAATCTCAAAGTAGTTGTATGTAATTTTCATCTCTTTACAACATCATTTCAGTGAACTATAAATAGAGATTTTTTTAAAAACGGTAATTACTTAACCCAACTTTAATACATGTTGATTAATTACATGTTTTATGTTACTTAGATTGTTTTACTTAACATAGAAATTCTATTTTCTTGCAAAAAACAAAAAATAAATTGTATGTTTATAACGTTTTATTGTCAATTAAGCGACAAAAAGCCATTAGGTGATCGTTAGTATCGTATATCTGGATTTCTAAGCAGATTGTTAGTTAATATGAGATTTCAAACTTCATAACTATGTCACAGACAGTGATATTATCACTGTGGTATTCGAGTTGAAACTTAATTAAAGAAGGATCATATGTTTTATACTGAATGATCATTAAGTGTTATAGGTCAATGGAACTGCAGAACTGATACCACTGGTTTTGTCCAATCATACCAAGTTTTTGTTCTACAGCTTCAACATCTCCATATTTGTGGCTCTGCTTGCAGCTAATTTGGTGTCGTGTTTTTACAATACGTGGCTGAAATTTAAAGTCATTGGGAATATCCAGTTAATGAATGAACGATATTTGCTCATACTGTTGTTATTTTGAACTATTATAATTAACATTGTTACCGAACAACCTTTATAGTATCAACGATTGGAAATTGCTATTACTCTTGAATAAAACAGCTTTGTGTGTTATTAGTAGTTTGATTTTTTCTGGTTTGGAAACCAGTAGATGTTAACTAAGCCATATATCGTTTTTAACTTGGAAGTTTATGTTTTATCAGCGACATCACACCTACCTAGTCCTCAACGATGATTGAGTTACACCTACCAATTTAATGTACAGATGTGTTCAACTAGGTTGAGTATAATTTCTGCAACTTAATTTAAGCTGTCGTAATTAATTAAACTAAGCGTTTCGCAAATAACAAATATACACCATGTGGATAACCCAGATATATAAGACACAAATATGAGGTCGTATAGATTGCTTAAATAGAGATACAGTCTATAAGAATATTAACTATAAACTGTTTATTATATATTTGTTTATTTACTTAATAACGCGATGTCTATGTTATTGATGATTCTGCCATGTAAAAGCATGTGAAATTTCATTCGTCATAGTGTAATTTTGTTTGTGTAATTATTTGATGGCTTCTAGTTTCTTATATCTTTCGTTAATTTTGAGGAAACATTTTAATATAACTTATCTAATAAACAGATAATATAAGCAAAAATGGATAGTCGCTAGTAATGGAATCCAGTTTGACACACGTTTTGTCCTATCCAGCACTCGTCAGCTGAGTGTACCTGCATTTCCGAGTTGATCTCCATCCCGGAACTCGAACCCAGAATCTTTTACTTCAAACGTCATCACGTTATTCACTTAGCTATTGAGACCTGATAGCCACTTGTATGTGCAATGGAGTGAAGCTTAAATTATCTTGGTAAATAATACCAAGTTAAACAGATGATGTCTTTTCTAACTTTACTCAATATTCATTATATTCTTTTCTGAACTTGTGTAGAAATTTGAAAATGATTAGTAAGATGTGTAGTTGACATTTTTGGCCTATGATGAATATATCTGTAGATTAGCATTGTATATCATGTAGAGAGAATTAGAATGTAAGATGATGAAACATAGACCATTCACTTTACTTACTACCTTATCTGTATCTATCCTTTGGGATATGAATGCACACGTTCATCAGAATTTGTAGACGAGAAGGAAAATGCTTAAGGTTTACAATAACTCATCAAGTACAAGCATTACGTTACGAGGACCTTATTAAATATATAAATAAATGTTTTTTGAAATGAATGGGTCTAATTGTATTCTGTTCTATGAAATAAATAACTTTTCATTGTTCAAAGCAATATTAATAGCGTCCATTTGAAATAAAAGTATGATTTTTAAAATAATGTAAAACTTAGTTTTTAACTGGTCAATTTCATAGATTTTGATATCATTGCACTTCATGGAATTTTTGGTTGAATATTCCTATTTGGTTGACCTCTGATCAAATGTTTTATTGACTCATTCTATATTATCTGATAAACTGGATCTATGTTGATGTTTTTCGTTCTTTGGAGATTACTCTAAATGCCATAGTTCAAGAAATTCTCCCGAATTTTCATAATGTCCTCGATATACAAGCTCGAAAATATTTATTTGTCTGTGTGTATTGAAATAAGCGTCATTTCATGAACTTTTTTAACTCTTTACAATACTGTTCCTATAAAAAATGTTCTGTGTACCGATAAGTTGTTGTTGGAATAATTTAACTTCTGATTTATCGGTTTCAGCTTTCTACATATTCCTATTTTCAATGCTTTTTCATAGTTTTAGTGATGGATTTACTCACGAATAAAATTTTATATGATTAATTTTTTTCTATTGTCATTTTGATATCTTCAAAGATATTGTCGATCAAAAATATGGGGTTGTAAAGATTAATATGTATTTGATTGGGATCATGAACCGATTAATATTAGATCACCATTGAAAGCCTGAAAACACTGGCTGGCCATTTAGTTTTATTGTGGAACTCCTCAGCAGTGAGTATCCACTATTCTACTCACGGGATTCGAACTAAAGACCTCCGGTCTCGTGCGCAAACGCTTATCATTATTATTTTTTGTTTATCATATTTAAGAATAACCAGTCCATCAGTTCATGCTATTAACGAATATAAATGAATATTTGAAGAAGATTAATGAAACATTCGATATGTTCTTGTCTAGAATTTCCTACCATACAAACCATGTATTATAAAAATAAAATATTCATTCCCTAGTTAATGAAAATCAGTCTAATTTACTACACAATATTTTACTCCATTGTTTTATATTTAAATAGTTGAATTCATGAGTCAATTGAAGGTAGACTACCATGCAAAAGCTAGAAGAACTGGACGGCCTTTTCCATCCTACTATAAGACTCCTCAACAGTGCGCATCCTCGATTCCATCTAGCAATATTTGAACCCAAGACCTATCAATCTCGCATGCAAACACTTAATCTCTATTCTTGAATAGTCTTTCAAATTTCATTAATTCCTAATCGTCTTCAATAACTTATCATGTTTATTTTTTTATATGTATTTAGAATGAATAGACGTTTTATTCAAAAACTTTATTCTTTTTTACATTTGAAACGTTTCATTTTGTAACTAATTTTTAATTGATAAAAGATGATAAAATGAATTATGTGTATTATGTATATATACTGTTTAATAATATAGAACTTTTTCTCTCTTTAAAAGTACTTCTTTCTATTCTTTATATGACTTCATTGAAATTAACCCATAAAACCCCGACGTTTGCCAATCATTCCTCGTCTTTTTAACATAGTTCGAAAATAGGTCGCTGAAATTTGTAAATATTAAAATAAAAGGAGAAAAAAATAATATCAGTTTAGGGGTTGTGGAGACTGTTAAGTTTTTAATTGAGATCATGAACCGATTGATGTTAGACCACCATTGAAAACTTGGAAGTACTGGTAATAAAACAATGTGAGAAATTTGAACTATGATTTACAATTGATAATTAAGATCGGGAATTAGATTAAGGTTTTCATCACGAATTACTATGAGTTATAATGCCAAAAGTCCATACAGCCAAATGGGTGAATGAATTTCATGGCAAAATCTAAGACCTGTTATTTTCAATCTCATTGAATCATCTCATCAGTTCTTTAATTTTAATTATAATGGATAAGTATAATTAATCATTATAAATTCATTAAATAAACATAATAAAATAAAGAGTCGGTTTCGAACTGATAAACTACGTTTGTCTTTTTTTCATAGATATACAATATAGTCGGATTGTTTTTGCGAATATATTCGTTGACTGTATAAATTTCATTAATGTCTTATATCTTCATTACAGAGAAAAAGAAAACTATTTAGCGGAATAACTTCAAACGTATTGTTCACCTTTTCTTTTTCTTTTGATTTATCTAACATCAATCATACATCACGAATATGCATAATCAGTAGTAGCAGTAGTGGTAGTAGTAGTAGTAGTAGTAGTAGTAATAGTAGTAGTAGTAGTATAATATGCATGATAGTTTTTAACGCCTCTTTATCGGTAAGGCGTTACCTCTTATATTTAATTAATGGGAATAGACAGTTTTATTTCATTATTTAGTTGTGTTTTTTGTGTCAATTATTCAATTACGTAATTATTTTGAATCTGTAATGTTATAGTAATCTAACATTCAATAACAAATGCGTTTATTAGTAAATATAAATGTTTACCAACAATCATAATGAACGTTAAATTGATTAGATTATCCAACTCACAGAATATAACATCGTTAAAATCTTTTATACAATCTGTTATTTTTTTATTTCTTTTTATATCATAATAACTCAGACTCTATAGTTTTAATAGTTAAGATCATGAGTCAATTGAAGCCAGACGATCATTGTGGAAAACATGTAAACACTGGATGACCGTTTCGTCTTATTGCAGGACTCTTCAACAGTGAGTATCCACGATCCCAACTCGCAGGATTTGAACCCAGGATCTGTCAGTCTTGTACATGAGCACTTAATTACTAGACCATTGAGCCTGATTTCGAATCTTGCGAGGCAGGATCATGGATACGCACTGCTCAGGAGTCCTATACTAGGATGAAACAGCCGTCGAGTGCTTCCAGGTTTTCTATAATGGTCTAGGAGTAACTAAACAGCTTAAGGATGAATGAATATAACGACGGTGATTTTGTCTAGAATAACAAGAGACCAGAGAACTAAACAATATCAGTAGGGTTCATGTTTCTAATTGTGATTAATTTTTGCATTTCATATTGGATACTTCATTTTCCACGTATGTACATCAGGTAGAATATGAAAATTGGTCATTGGTGAAGAGTGATACCATATTTTTCTCAAAATCTTATGAAGACTCTTTAACCGATGATCTAACTGTCAATTAGTTTTGTAATATTTGAGACACTTAGTAACTTTTTAAGATGAGTACATCAGGATAATCTTAATATCTGCAGATAAGTGACTATATTTTGAAAAGTCATGGATTTTATAAGAACTATCATGGACTCCAAAGAAATAACTATTATATTTAAATATTTGTTAGTATGCTGACAATCGAACCAATGGACTTCTATCTCACGGCGAGAATTCAATCTTTAGATCACTGAGCTAGGATCCAATAGTATACATGTCTAAACACAATCAATCTGAGGTAGTGCGAATCATCTATTGACAGAGATGAATAATTGTCTCATACCTGACATGATTGAAGTCGACCAGTCAAGGATTCTGACTGGAACTCTGGAAACTACCTCTCGATGTGAATAACTAACGAGCTTATGATTATCATTAATAAAATTAATATTCGATAGTATAAAAGACGATATTGTTTAAATAATGACATCAATCTGAGGTATTACTTTAACTATATATCAGTAATTGAGTTTAAGATCAAAGCAATTGTTCAAAAAGTTAATTACGTACAGTAATCAACTTTACTTCCATTAACTGTAACGTAATACAATCTTAATTCATTAACTTGTATTTATACATTGACAAATTCACTAATAAGCACATCAAAATGGAAATAAAGTTACAACCTGGATACTAATATAAGTGGTTTGACATCATATACATTAAATGTTAAATGTTTGGAGCTATTCTACTGGAAACCCTGTTTCACGAGAGAAAAAACTGTAGTTTACGCCTTAATCACTAAGTTATTCAAAATAAAATATTGATTTATCAGTTAATAACTGATTAAACTAAAGGTATGAATTAAAAAGAATACAAAAGAATGTTACTTACAAAGACAATCAGATATATCGATTTCTGTTTCAGAGTTTTGATCACAAAAATTACAGACATCATGAATTGAAGGATTGGAACAACATTCATTCATAGAAATTTTTTCACTTAACACGCATCGTCTGAAATTATAAAACAAAGTTTACAGTATATGTGAATTCATTTTTTATCCATGGTAACAATAATATAAGTATAATTTCAAAAATGTATAGATATATGAACAACTATGTTCCACTGCTAACCACTATCCATCTTTGTTTATAAAGTTTTTGACTCTAGGCAATATATGCCAATAAGAGACTGATCGATCGCAGTTCTAAATAACGATGGGGAAATTCAAGTAAACAACACCAAGTGAATATAACTTCACCTCATCGCACAAGAAAATGGCTATCAGGACTCAGTAGCTAAATGGATAACGCGATGGCATTTGAAACGAATGGTAATGAGATCAAGTCATGGGGTGAACATCAACTCTGAGATGCAGATACACCCGGCTGACGAGTCTCAAATAGGACGAAACACACGTCATATTGGATTCTATAACTAGCCACTAAATATGCAGTTTGTAATTAATATTATCATTCCTAAGTTAGCATGGTGATATATACCTTAGACTCAAATTACTGTAACAATTTTTATATGTACCTTGAAGATTTCAATGTCATTCTGTAATTAAAACATTGAAACATCGTAAGCTTTTTATGGTGTCAATCTCTAAATTACGAGCTTACTCAAAAACCTTAAACTTCGATAAAACTATAATCTCAAGTTTAGTAAATAGTTATATTCTTTTACTTCATTTACAGAATCATATATCAAAAGACTGAAATACCAGTTTACTGGAGGAAGTTAGAGGGAAGAACTGAATAACGGTTTCATGCTGATTGATAGTAATCAGTAAGGGATTTCTTAACGAAGTTCTCAATAATGTTTCTTATAAGTTCATATTCCTCATCACTGAGCTGTTTCAATTGTAAACCACTTCTTGCAAAACGAATTTATAAAAGGTTTCAGGTTACTGTTAAGTAAATAAAAACTGAACAAAATGACGGCGAGATTATAATTTATGAACGAACCAATCACGTATAAGATAACAGGCTTGGGATTTTGGTGCGAAATTCACTCATTCATTTGGATAAATAGAGTTTTGGCATTATAGTAAATATCAGTTCATGATGAAAACCTTAAATATAATTATAATTCCTCACACAGATTTATAATCTTCATTTGGTTCTAGTTATTAAGTGAACCCTCTCAAGGTTAGTCTAGTGTTCCTCAAAGGTCGTCCGTAAATTGTAGTCTCACCAATATATTTCATCTAAAAAATGAGTATTAAAAAATGATTTGCCTCCATAAACCTGTAACTAAACCTTAAATACACTAATCTTTAGTAACTCGCTATACAAGTTTAAAACCAAGCTCATAAATAGTATACTAGAATTCATAAATAGTGGTATATGATGTTTATGAATAGTGAGTAAATATGAGTTTGGATGATGACCAAACGAATGGATTGAATCTGAAAACGTAGAGCATTGTGTTTGGACTCATTATTTCGATAATATCGTGTTCCTGTTGAGAAGTGAATACCCTAAATTAGATTGTGAGTGACTGTTCGTGTAGAAAACGATATTAGAAAGAGATACTTTCTTCTGATGACTTTTCATTCGACTTTACCCATCCTTAAAATTGAACTGCACAAAGGTTTGGAGGGCAATCAAGCAAGGTAGTGTAAATGTGGATTTAGTGTAATAATACTAAACGAATATCAATCATTCAAAGAGCCTTATGTATTATATAGAACACCTAAATGATACTCGTTTCACCTATATCATAAAGATTATTTTTAAGAAGCATAATTGAAGTTGCACTTTTACGTATTGAGTATAATATTTACCACAGTCATTGTGTACAGTAAGTGATCTTGAAGAGAATGACTCAAACATATAATTGATGGTCGAAATAGATTGAAGATGACCTTTCTAAAATACATTAATCAATTATGTATGGACTTTAATCATAAACAATAATTATAATAATTCAAGGAATGAGTCAGGAGATATCACGTTCGAATCCTTGTCTTAGCCCCCAAATGCCGTGGTACAGATGAAAGTGGAGGTATTCAGTTCTCTCTCAAAATGCTCCCAAACGACCACGTACATACAACCACTGACAGAGAAATTTTACTCACCGCCTTCTCGCACAGCAGGTGTTGTTTACGAAATCGAGATGACGGAAACCGGATGTTCGGCGTTTTAACCGGATTGGTGGATACGGAAAGTTTACCTATGGGAGTTGGAAAACCCTGATTCCAAACCAATGGTGTACATGGGCCCGCCCCAAAATCTTGACGGAACAAATGACCTATGAACCAATCGTTGATTACCGGATACCATGGGACTGCATCTCTTGACATCGCTCCACTGTCTTGTGGATCAAACCCTTAGGTCAAAGGCTTGGGATGTGGCCCCTTAAGAAAACGACCTATTTCGGTTTGGGTACACGGGCAGCATCCCATTCGTCACACAAATCGGTTGATTTATGTGGCGCATATTTATTTGGTGCCTCTTTGTACCAATGCTAATGTGTTTAAATAAATAAATAATTAAATAAGTAATAAAAGATTAATCAACTCACTCGCAAGCTGCAATATTACATTTAGAGTATTTCGCTTTAGATATTGAAATAGTTAAGAAGGTAAGAAGCATACATAGAAGTATGTAGTCTTTTATTCGTTTGTAGAACATGCTTAATCTTGTCTTTAAGTTATGATGTTCTTGCTAAAATGAAAGAAAATATATTGAGCAAGTGTTGTTTGAATACTTTACATTGAATATAAATTAAATTACATTAAGTGAAACTGTCAAAACCAAGTGGATATGGTGTCCATCTAATAAACAGGACTAAATGAGGGTCATAAAGTAATCTGAAGGATAAGGATTATGATTCACACTTGATGATTAGGGTTAGGGATTAGCTTTATGATTTTCATCATGAACTGATATCAGCTATAATGTCAAAAGTCTATCTAGCCAAATGGATGAATGAATTTCGCGACGAAATCCAAAATCTGTTATCTTATACGTGATTGGTTCGTCCATCAACTATAATCTCGCCGAGAATATTATTCGATAAACTTTTTTTATTCTTCTTCAATGATACCACAGGTCTCTTTTGTTATTTAGATTAGTTTGTTCAAACAATTTCTTTTAACCCTGAACTGATAGCTCCTGGGTTCGAATCTCTCCAGACGGGATCGTGGATGCGCACTGACGAGGAGTCCCATACTAGCACAAAATGGTCGTTCAGTCCTTCCAGATTTGCCATGGTAGTCTAGCTTCAGTTGTCTCGTGAATTCAATCACAAATTACTACAATCTCCACAAACCTCTTCTCTGATTATAATTTCTTTTTTCTCTTTGTTTAAAACTTAAAAGCTATTGATATTGTATTTTATTCTATAAAACCTGGTAATTTTATATTGCTATGTAGAACTGAAGGTCTCATATGCGACTAGAGGTTAGCCATTGATATTGTGGATGGTTGGGCATTACTTTGGCAAGTTTTGCTGACTGTTCATGCACAAAATTGGTTTGCTGGTTAACCAATTTCATTCATAATGGTAGTTGCTTTTCAGTGTTCTCAAGGGCCATTGTCATTGGGACATTTTAAGGCTGACATTAATGAGTTTGACTATCGTGTAAGTGGAACAGAACAACTTTGGCCTGTTCGTTCTGTGCATAATTGATTCATGCGATCATTGATCGGAATAACTATACATGTGATGTGAATGTGTATATGAATAGTGCGAATGGTCAACCAAGGTTCTTGCTACCCGTGAGGTTGCGCCACAGGATTGAGATGTACTATTCAGATTGTAGCGTTAATGCCTATACGGTGACTGGTTCCCCTGTGAAGCGCGATCGAGCTGCACTGCTCAGGTTATAAAATTTAAGCCTAGGTGGTGTCTGATTTTTTTGGAAACGGGATTGAGACGTACCATTTGAGCTACAAACTTTACGCCTGAGCGATGTCTGGCTCTCCTGTTAAACTGGATTGAGCTGCACTGTTTGGGTTGTCAGGGGAAGGTCTGAATGGTGTCTGGTTCTCTTGAAAACCAATGTAAAATTACCCCGGCACACAAGGGTATATTATATAACTGACTAAGTTTTTATAAGCTCATTTTATTCTATGATTGTGATTTGAAAAGTGTGATGACTGTCAACAATGATTAATATATCAACGTTTTATTCCTTTGAAAGAGAATAAAAATCTGATTTACTAACTTCCCTTGAGGGTTACGCGAATATTTGCTAGTGAAATAAATAACGATCAACTGAATAGACTATAACAGATGTTTATTAAAAATCGTTATCTTCCTTTCTGGTTTCTGTTTAGAGACTTGATCCCATAAAGTACATTCAGAAATGTTCTCTTAAGTATTCATGAAGATTGTTGATTGAACCATGAACTGATTAAGAATAATTCAGGATATTTTGAAGATTTTTGTAGTGGCTGCATTTAAACCCATTTATTTATCATACTTGTCATAGAGACGCTATTATCATCAAGTTGTATTCACTTCCTTTTAATATAGACAATTACTTTGTATACTTCTGAATTTGTTCATTGATTTCATTTTCCTAATTTTATTGAAAATATTCAACGATTACAAAAACTTCCATTTGATACTTAAAATGTTTAGTCACTTATCTAAAAAAAGGTTTCAATGGACTAGTATGTATGTATAAAAACAAAGTGTAATTTGAGTACACATTATTATTGATAGTAAATTGTTCTAACTTATACACTTATACATTACATCCAAACTGGTACTTAAATCTCACATCTCTTCATATATAATACATAATTTGAACATTTTTTTAAAAACAACTATTATGAAATTCACTTGGTATTACCTTACATGAATCTTCCCATTAATGTTTAGGAGTGCGATTGCTCAGTCAGTCTCTTATTGGCATATGTTCATACTGTGCTTATTACCTCGATATAACCAATAGGAAGATTCAAACAGACAATACCAAGTGAATTTGAAATTCACTCCATTGCACAAGCAAGTAGCTATCACGACTCAGTAGCTAAGTAGATAACGTGGTGGCGTTTGAAGCGAACGATACTGAATTCAATTCTCAGAGTGAACATCGACTCTGAAATTCAAGTACATCCAGTTGACGAGTCACGAATAGGACGAAACGCGCGTCAAATTGGATACCACTATCCATCTTGGAATGAAATATTTAATGTGTTTTTTCTTGCCGATGGCTCATTTCATTTCTATTTCATTAAACATCATTTAATGAAACAGAACAATTTATATTTCGAGGCTATTTTTTCCCTGGTTTTACTAATATACACATTGTTTTGTTTTTACTTTTTGTCTATATTACTAATTGTAATTAATTCAGGTGTTACAACAATATCTATCATTATTTCTTTTAATTTAATCAAAGTAAATGTTGTTTACAAAGTATGTATGCTTTATTATAAGGATTTTACTTGATAGTAATTACCGAGTTGAATATTAAAAAAGAAAATAGATTACAATAGATATTCTTATAAATAAATAAAGAATATAGACATAAAGTGCCGATTAGTATCTATAGACATAAAAGCCAAATGATGATAATAATGATAAGTTTCCAACTGAACAATTTCAACCAATAAATAATAGTAAAAATGTAATTTACACTTCGTTAACTAGATTTTTTAACGGGGGACGGTTAGGAGTGAGGGTGGGGGTGGGGTGGTGGAAAAGAAAATTTATTCTTTGATCCGTTATGTTGTAATGCTGTAATCTTTTAAAGACAATAAAGGATTTTCATTTTTTTATCGTTTATATAGTATGTATATATATATATGTTTAACTAGAAATCAGTCATGCAAATTAATTGTTTATACACTTAGTTAGATTATATTGGTTGAATAATAAATAGTTGCTTAAGTCTAATCTAATTAGTTTCTATTTTAAAAAAAACATGGATATTTTAAAATAACTGTGAGGACGGTCCATGGATGAACACGAGGAAGCGTTAAGAAGCTCAGAAAGAGCTGAAGATATTCCATCCAATCATGTTTTGGTTGAATATTCTAGAATCCCTATGTGTAACTTCCCTATTGAACAAATGATAAATGGTTATTTGATTAAAATGATTATACATTGGGATAAAAGAAAATGTATACCAAGAATTTATTTGATATGAGAATTACAAAACTAGTGAAATGTCAACTAGTGGAATTTTATCATAGATTTATAGTTAGATCTTGAAAACTTTTTTTTTAATTTTGGCTATATCAATCAGTAATAAATACCAGTTAGGATGAAAGGAAATGTACGTGGGATAATGTTTAACACAGTTGAATGGGTATAACCGTTCAAACTCAATTAAAGAGAAAACCAAAATTCCTTTTATTCAAATCAAATACTTCTCAAATAGTAACTAGTATTCTTTTATCTGGTACCAAGTGCTAATTACATTTAACTCATCAAACCTTAACTTGAAACTATTAAACTAAGTAACTTGAAAAATGCATAAACTAAAATGATGTAAGCAAAAATGGATAGTAGTTGAAAGTGGAAATCAGGATTCTATATCGATGCAATATGCACAGTATACACATATGCCAATAAGAGACTGATTGATCAATTGCAGTCTTAAACATCAATGGAAAGATTCAAGTAAAATAATACCAAGTGAATTAAATTTCACCTAATTGCACAAGCAAGTGGCTATCAGGACTCAGTAGCTAAGTGGATAATGTGATGGCGTTTGAAGAGAACGGCACTGGGTTCGAGTCCCAGGGTGAACATCAGCTCTGGGATGCAGGTACATCCAGCTGACGAGTCTCAAATAGGAAGAAACGCGCGTCAAATTGGATTCCACTACTAGCCACTATCCATCTTTGTTTATGCTACTTTAGTAGTTCTTATATTTTCTTTCTCTGAAATTCGATTATGACAGAGGCTACTATCATAGAATTTATACGTTAAATATGGAAAAGGATGTTAAAGAAACAAAACTGAACGTAAGCAGTCACAGATTAATTTGAGTGATAGTTGATATTTGCTTGAAGACGCTTAATACACAGTTCCTTTGTTTTGGATATTCACAATCGAAATGCTTCTATTCAAGGAATCTTTGCTATATACATACATATTTTGAGTAAGGTGATTATTATTATCATAAATTTGTAATAATCATAATAAAAAAAATACTGGAAGATGAATTGTTTATAAAATTAAGTAAATATATCCTGTTACAGGGGAATATACTTTTAGGCTAGACTATAACTTATAGACGAACCAATCAGGTATTAGATAGCAGGTTTGGGATTTTGGTGCGAAATTCATTTATCCATTTAGATAAATAGAGGTTTGGCATTATAGCTGATATCATTTCGTGATGAAAACCCTAAATATAATTCTTAACCTTGACCGTCAACCGTAATTATGATTCCTCACACAGGTTTATAATCTTCATTTGGTTCTAGTTATTAAGTGGACCCTCCCAAGGTTAGTCTAGTGTTGCTCAAAGGTCGTCCATAAATTATAGTCTCACCTACTTTTATTACAAATACTTTTGAGTAAACGTTACTTCTTAATTTACATCCTGAATTAATTTTAGTTAGACAGTCGTTAAAATCTGGGAATCACTGAACAGATATTTTGTTGTATTTTAATATTTCTCGGCAATATACAATCACTACTACATCAGAGGCCAAACCCAGAACCTTCATGATTTGTGTCAGGACTTACAGTTTAG